TTTTTTTTTTTTTTTTTTTTTAATAATAAAAAGTCAATCCATTAATTTTTTTTTTTTTTTTTACTAAATTAATAAAAATATTCTTAATTTTGTATAAATATTCAGTAAAGTTTCATTAATATTCTTTAATTTTAAAAAATATTTTTACCTAAAATTTAAAATAAAATTTTAAACCTCTTTTATATTTATTTAAAAATAAATAAATTTTTTTTATTTTCAATCGTCAATAAAATCAACCAAATCTGAATGAGTTTGACTAAAATAAAATAAAGTCTAAGTAGAAGTTAATTTATAATTTTTGTATATTATAAAAATTTATTATTATATATTATTATATATAAATAATAAATAATTTTATTTTGAAATTTTGTAAATATATATTTTTTTTAATGTATTTTTTAAATAGAGTATTAGACCATCTTGCCCTCATCGTCCTGGAGGCAGCTGCTTGGACTGAAGAAGATCAGCAATCGAGAGTCGGAAGCGCAAGAACACCGAGAAGAGAAATGGCTTCGGTGGTGCGGGGGATTCTGAAGTCGATCAAAGACAAAGGCATCGGTACTTTCTTGAGAGAGTTCAAGGAAGAAGGCTACTTGTAATGTTTTCCTTCCCTATTTTTCGTTTTTGATCCATGGTTTCTGTCCAGTCCTTGGGGAATTTGGTGGTGTCGTCGAATTCGAATTCGAATTCGCGCCTTTTAGTTATTTTTTGCTTAATTTGTGTGATGTATTGGTGTTTCTCTTATTGTTCTGAGGATCGCTGTTTCAATGTCTAATCACTACGGGTGTTTCTTTCCCAATTTGAATGTTCGATGACTATGGATATTGTCTCTGTTTCTCCAGCAATGTTGGAATTTGGATTGTGTTAACTGTTCTTTCCTTATTGAATCTTGCAGGAAATGCTTACCCGATGGAAACTTATTGTAAGTTCAATTTTCCTTGCATCTTCTTTATGGAATCTCCCAATTGATTTTTCCAGGTGAGCCATATTTTTTAGGTTATTAATTGGAGCACCAGCCTTTCCAACCATTTTTCTATTTAGTAGGTGACTTCATTCTCTAAGATCAGTTCCTTCTTCAGAAAAATCTAGAATGAATTTGGCACTAAATTTTAAGACCATAGTAGGGGAGATCTAAGAATAGAGAAAAAATTATTTTAGTGCATTTGAAAGAACTGCTTGGAAGACATCAATCTTCATTTAGGACAGAAGAGGAGCTTTTCCACTCACTGAATTATGTTGGATTTCAACTATTTTAAAGGTCAAGTTGATGCCTTACATCTCCATTTTCTCTGTCAATAGTATCAGTTGAATAGAAATTTCTATACTAGCTGTTTGACATTTAACTGAATTACCTGAGAAGATAGAGGCACATTAAAAGATCGTGATGATATCCACGAATTAGCCAATTTAACTTTGTCGCAAACATGCTGTATATGAGTATTATACGTGACGTTGAGGTAGTAAACTTGAAAATTGTTCCTACTCTTCCTCTCTTTTGTTCAGGTTTTGTCGTCCATTGTTCGATAGGGAAACGGTAGAGGTGTTATGACTCTCCTTTCTTTATCGGGAGATCCCGAGCTTAGACAAGGGAGAAGGGAATTTCGTACTTGGTGTCCTAGCCTTTCTATAGGCTTCTCTTGTAGATCTTTCTTTCATTACTTAGTGGACCCATCTCCTTCTAAGGAATCTATTTTCTCCATTCTTTGGAGTGTGAAATTTCTAAATAAAGGTGAAGTTCTTTGTTTGGGTGGTTACTCACAGAAGAATCACTAACTTGGATAGCCTCTCAAGGAAGTTTCCTCCTTTGGTAGGGTTATTCTGTTACATCATTTGTCGGAGGGCGGAGGAAGATCTGAACCATTTAGTTCGGAGTTATGACTATGCTCATTCGGTTTGTTATTACTTCTTTGGAGTGTTGGTTTGATATCCCACGTTTGTTGGGGAGGAGAACGAAACACCGTTTATAAGGGTGTGGAATCCTTTCTCTAGCAGATGCATTTTAAAGCTCTAAAAGGGAAAGCCCAAAGAAGACAATATCTACTAGCTGTGGGCTTGGTCCGTTATAGTTTGACCTTTAGATAGCCCGATACAGAGCTTTTTGTGATATGATCGAGGAATTCCTCCTCCATCCTTCGTCTAGGGGAAAAGAGAGTTATAGGGATAGTTGGGATGCATGAAACTTAGTCTTTTATAGAGAAATATATATTATGTAGCTGTTATTTTGCTTTCCAATTGACGTCAACAATTTTTTTTATCTCATTCATACACTGAATAATTTCCTTTCCTTGCAAACTATTCAATGTGGTTTATGGGAGCTATCTTTATCATCTCTAATTTTGTTTTATTCAGGCAAACCAAAATTCACAACATCGGTGCGACACTTGTAGGTGTCGATAAGTTTGGAAATAAATATTACCAGAGGCTCGATGAACAAACTCAATATGGTATTTTTCTTTCTATTTGCTATCGGTGAAGGCCAAGATGTCTAAACCATTGCTTAAGACACTTGCCATGTTATGTTAACTCAAACCGATTGATTATGTTTCTTGCTACAGAGTGATGCAGTAGTTGTACGTCGCCTTGTATTACCTATTCTTCTAGTTGTTCTGTTGAAAACTGTTCATCTTCCTGCTAATGATATTCCTCTAATTTCGATATGAAACTTGACAAAATTTTGCAAGAACAAAAAAAATTTACCCTCGAAAGTAAAAGCAAGAAAAGGAATTTTTACATATAGGACGACCCATTTTATATCTTGAACATCGAATTCGCGCTTATGCTTGTTCCATGTTAACGAAAGAGTTTATGAACATTTTTTGAACTCGATGTGTTGTCTAACCGTCTCTTTTTATGTTTTGTGAAAACCTGAGCTAGTGAATTTGATATCTCTGTAGGAAGACACAGGTGGGTTGAATATGCAGAGAAGGGTCGTTATAATGCTTCTCAGGTGCCACCCGAATGGCATGGCTGGCTCCACTACATAACCGATCACACAGGAGACGAGGTAACTCCCCTTCTCTAGCATTTCTGTGAGTTTCAAAACACATCGAAGTTCGAGGACTAAATGTGTAATATTAAAAGTTTAAGGACCAAATAGACATAAACTTCAAAGCTCAGATTTATCGTTTCACAGCTTCTGATGCTGAAACCGAGTAGGTATGGGATAGAACACAAGGAAAACTTCTCTGGGGAAGGTGAAGAACTTATCTACCATTCCAAGGGACATGCTCTTAATTCTGGGCAGAGAGATTGGACTCGCTATCAGTCATGGCAACCAACCAAGTCCTAAGTAATTTGTGTATCAATTCCTTTGTTTAATTTGGAAATCCATGGGATATCTGGCTGTGTGCTTTCCTGTTCTTCTGAATAAGCGACTTGTTGTTGTCTCTGCAAGCTGTGAATTATTTTTCATCATGTTTACTGCACAACACATGAGGGATTTTCTGCATGTTTCTGTTCTTTTGTGCCATGTCTTAGCGATCACTGTGATAGAACGTTATATCATGGCAGTGTATCAGATGTTATCAGCTTTGGGCATTTCCTAAAACGAAAGTTCGAGCAAAATTTGGTGTCTCTAAATGTTTGAAGTTCGTACTCAAATTTTGATGTTAGAACGACTTCATCTCAAGATATCTTATTGCGTGTTGAATACATCAAAGTTAAATCGATGATTGATAACCAGGGATAATTTTTTTTTCTATGTTCAAGATTTCAAATCTTCAACATTCAAATTGATCCAAGTAGATTAGATTGAAAGTTCTAAAGCACAAAACTAGACAAATATATATCTCGATTCATAATAATTAGTAATTTTTTTTGTCTAAAATTTTTCTCCTTTCAATAGTGATCCTTCTTAAATAAACAAATATGCATTTTAGATGAACGGGTATCTTACCAAACTTGAAAAGAAGAAAATCTTCACCAAGTGTAGCCCTAGCTTTCGTGGCATATGATCCGTTCCTAGTGTGATTGAACTTGACTTGACCCATAGACTTTGAGCAACAAGTTTTATTTGAGTTGTTTGTGCAAAAAGTCTTCGAGTATAGAAATATTGACCAGTGACCCGTAATGTAATTCTAAATTGAAGCTCTTTACTGAACACGAGATTTTATAACTAACTTGTATAAATTTCGTGGATGTTACTAAAAATACTCGAAAAATAATTTTGTTCAAGGTTATCTTCGTATCCAGTTGAGGTTAATTTCATATCATTTATGAATGGAGCAACAAGTGAAATTTCAACGAGATGATGACCCACTTTTAGACATTTTTATTTAGATGGTTAATGTCCTTGTATCAGCTGACTCATCCGTTTTTGGCTTGTTAATCGATGTAGATCGATTTTTAACTTGTTGATCATCTTGGATCTATTGTTTGTTGATAGGTTTGAATTGAATGGAATTAGGGTTTATTCATGGCTTGGAATGATCTCTAACTTGAATTATTAAGTTTGATTAAACTGTCATAAAATTTTATTTTAAAAAAATTGGTCAAAATTTTGTAAACCCAAAAATATTTTGGGTCAAAAAAGCAATTTCACGCATGCATTCTTACATATTTCTAATCTAAATTTCCAAATTCGTGATTCTCTTTGCTCCGTCGATAGGGAAGCAGTTCTCCTGTTCTTCACTCCCAGAGCGGAACCTGGAATCGAATTCTAGGTATTAATTGTCCCTTAATTTTCTCTCATTTTCCTTTGATTTTTGTTTAGCGCTCTTCAATTTTTCAATCCTACCACGAGGGAAACTTCTCAACAAAACTTATTTTCAAGTTTTTTCGTCTTAATTTTGCGTAATTGATCACTGTTTGGCTTCCCAGAAAACCGAGAAGAAGAATTCGTTCAAATGAACTTAAAATTTCTCCCAATTTCTCACCCCTGCTGCTTTGTTTCATTAATTTCTATGAATGTGGTTAAGATTTTAGCCTTTGTTATCCTTGCTCTAGGTGTTTACAGTGCAATACATGGCACTGTGGATTATTAATTTTCTATCATTTTATTCAGAGATTGGAATTTAAAATTGAAATACACACATGAATCTACGTGTTTGCTGCTTATTGTTGTTATTGTTCAACATCAATTGAAAAATCGAAATCCTCTGTTTTTGTATTGAAATCCCCCATCAGATTATAGCCATTGCTCGATTTATACTGATTAAAACAGCTTCCTCGCACCATTTAATGATAATCATGGCCCTGTGGGAAATCTTGAGTCAATTTTTCACATCATTTTCAAATTTCAGTTATTGTGTTCTTTGCAAAATCATTATTATTTGATTAATCTTCCGTTTCCTCAAGCAAAATATTCTTCATTGATCTCAGATTCTCAAACATTTTTTCAGAAATATAGGAAGTGGTACATTGAATGGCACAGTCTGCAAGTTTAGTCTCTACTGGCCTCCTAAATTATGCCTTTACTCCTCAAAAGAATGCTTCATATTGGAGATATGATGTGATAAAATCACGACCATCCCCTCGTAGTCTCGGTATCAAAGCTGTGCAAGATACCGGAGGCCCTCGTAGGTTGGTTGATATCATTAGATTGGTGCCTGAGCTCTCGAGAAATTACTTTCGAAGTCCTTCAAGGAGGGCTCTCTTTGGAGGAATCTCTTTGTTGGGTGGCTTTTATGTGGCACAAACTATATCATTGTCGTTTGGAGCTTTGGGAGTAAATGATGTGATTGCTGCTGTGGTATGTGTTCTTCTTACTGAATATGTTACTCGCTTTTATTACAGTCGACCCAAAGTAACCTTCCCTGTTGCTCTGCTAAACAACTTCAAAATGGGATTCACTTATGGTCTTTTCATTGATGCTTTCAAACTTGCTAGTTAAGTGAAACCATTCTGGTTGTGGCTTAGCCTTTACGTTTGTAAAGTTCTTTGAACACTGATTTTGGTCTATATCTTTCAAGCTTCTTCTAATTGTTTGATGAGCTATCTTCCCTTTTTTTTTTTTTTTTTTTTCTTCTATTCTTTCTGTATATTTACATCTACAAGAATTAGATATGGACATGTGAGATCCCACATCGGGAGAGGGGAACTAAGCATTCTTTATAAGGGTGTGGAAACCTCTCCCTAGTAGACGCCTTTTAAAATCGTGAGGCTGACGGCGATACGTAACGGGCCAAAGTTGACAATATCTACTAGCGGTGGGCTTGGGCTGTTACAAATGGTATCAGAGCTAGACACTGAGTGGTGTGTCAGTGAGGATGCTGGCCCCCAAGGGGGTGGATTGTGAGATCCCACATCGGATGAAGAAGAGAACGAAGCATTCCTTACAAGGGTGTGGAAACCTCTCCCTAGTAGATGCGTTTTAGAATTGTGAGGCTGATGGCGATACGTATCGGGCCAAAGCGGACAATATATACTAGCGGTTGACTTGGGCGGTTACAAATGGTATCAGAGCCAGACATCGGGCGGTGTGCCAGTGAGGACGCTAGGCCTCCAAGGGGGTGGATTGTGAGATCTCACGTCGGTTGGAGAGAGGAACGAAACATTCCTTATAAGGGTGTGGAAATCTCTCTCTAATTGATGCATTTTAAAATCGTGAGGCTAACAACGAATGGTATTAGAGCTAGACATCAGGCAGTGTGCCAGCAAGGATGTTGGGCACAAGGAAGGTGGATTGTGAGATCCTATATCAGTTTGAGAGAGAAACGAAGCATTCTTTATAAGGGTGTGGAAACCTCTTCCTAATAGACACGTTTTAAAACCGTAAGGTTGGCGGTGATACGTAACGTACCAAAGCGGACAATATCTGCTAGCGGTGGACTTGAGCTTGGACCATTACTGGATCTATGTACGCTCAAACGCAATATAGTAACAGATTTGGATGTAATCGATAACTTTTATTTGTTTAATTCTTGTTTACGTATTGAAATGCATCCCTATGAATAGAGAATTGTTTGATTGAGTTGAACTGCTTCTTTCCATAAGCTGTTATGAGATAAATGTTGTGCTTCTGAATTTTGTTGATATCTACATGAACTATAGAATTGAAATAGAGCAGTATTAAGCAGAAGAAATAGATAAATGTTTAATTTCTTGTTGTCACGAAGTTTATGTTGGAAGGTCACCTGTCGAGAACGACCATAGTACTCAAACTATTATATTACTTGTAACGATTCGTTCACTTACGAAATCGAACAACACGTGCAAGAAGCACATTATAATTAAATGTTTAATCACCTTTATAAACATATCAGGGAAGAATATATTGTTTGAATTGGATTCTCTCTCAACTTGGAAAAAGAGAGGAAATAATCATAGGGAATCTCCCAATGTAACACCATTAAATTAGGGTGTTCATAAATATTCGAGTAGGTGAACGTGGATTCAAAACTCTTACATCATTTCTTTAAAACATTTCGATTTAGACATTGGTATTTGTTCTTTCTATTAATGGTGATACAACATTTATTGACATAGACCTCTTATCTATCAAATTTGCACTCATTTAATTCTTAAATAAGAACCTTTTATACATATAATTCGAATTCGAAATGATATGTATAGTATAAAAGTATATGTGATATCCCACATTTGGAGAGGGAAACAAAACAAAAACATTTTTTGTAAGAGCGGAAATCTTTCTCTAGTAGACTTGTTTTAAAATCGTGAGGTTGACAACGATATGTAACGGGCCAAAATAAAAATATCTGCTAGTGGTGGGCTCGAACTGTTACAGAGCCTAACATTGGGTGGTGTGCCAGCTGAGGATGCCCACATAATCCCACTTCGGACGCGCCCTCGCTGTAAGTGGGATCTCGTGCATTTGTATGATCCCACATACAAGAAGATATCCGTCCGTAAAATCCTTCATGCACAAGAGCATCCTCATAACATAGGTTTATTTTCAATAATCTTATATCTTGAAAATAATGATAAACATCCGACAAAACCTGATGGCGTTCGAATAGTAAAATCACTTACTTTCAATAATACAATAGTCAGCTCCTATTGAGTAGATCCTTCGTCTATTCATAATCTTTAAGCTTTAATCTTCACTTGAAATTTTATTTCCAATGACTTAATTTACTCGAGAAACACAATTAAGCATTACCTACACGTTTCCATGTCTAACAAAAAATAACTCTCATACATACATACATTATACAAGTTTATACTCGAGACAACAATAGTTACGAGCTCTTCTAACAGTCTATGTCTAGTGATATCATCCCGACAACGACCGCAAACTACGATAGAAAGTATGGGAATCTAAAACTTTTTTTAAGATACCCGATTTGCTTAAAGCTTACGCCAACAGTTCATTGCTAGGAATGTTAATTTTAGGGACTCCAACACATACACAAAGCACTTATAAAAGCCTGAATTAAGGGAAGTGGGTGTAGTGAGAAGCCAAGAAGGGAATAAGTGGGTTCAATGAGCAAATCAGTTGTAGGGCAGCCCCACGTTGGGCATGGCAGTGGAGTTGTTCAATTTTCAATGATAACTCCAGACTTTGCCCAGTGGGGGCTGCCCTCTGACTGCTTTAGCTTAGTTTTGCATGAGTTTAATCCCCATGTGCCCTTAATAAGGGACGCCCAACAGGTAAAGGAAATGCTTAATCTTCTCCTTATACTGATTTTTTTCCCCATTTATTATCGCTTTTACTGTCGTAGGCGATCGGGAAGGTTCTAGAACTCATGTATTCTCCTCTCCGATGTGGGATCTCTTAATCCACTCATTTGGGAGCCCACATCCTCGCTGGTACACCGCTCGGTGTCTGACATTGATACCATTTGTAACAGCTTAAGCTCACCGTTGGCAGATATTGTCCACTTTGACCCATTTAATATAGCTCTCAGCCTCACGGTTTTAAAACGTGTATACTAACGAGAGGTTTCTATACTCTTATAAAGAATGTTTCGTTCTTCTCTCTAATCAATGTGGTATCTTACATTCATGTTGGTAAGTATGGACTGTCTTCAACCAAGAGGGGACGCTTGTAGACGATCGGTCGAGTATCGACTGAGACGCAGATGGCTGGGCATGCGGCAGGTTGCTGAAGGCTTGTTTTTTAGGTTCTCCATGGGTTGTCTCCGACTACTTTTTATCTGGTGCCGTGAATGAGCTTAGGCCACACCTACATGACCTTCTCTTCTTTCTAGGTTGTTAGGTTGGTGACCCTAGCAACCCGAACAAAGTTCACATTTCAACTCTCTATTTTTTTATTCAATTTTGACAGTCTCTTTTTATTATATAAAATGTACATACTTATCCATCATACATGTTACATTAATAACCAAATTTTATAAGGTTAAAATATAAAATATTTATAAGTCAGAACATATCACTAATATTAAATATTTTAAATTTTTTTAAAAATAGGAACTCTGATTGGACTAGATTGTACCCGTATTTTTCAACTCCGACTAAAATGAACTAAACAAAAGAAAAATCTAATCCAACCCAATGGATAACCCGAACAACCCTATTAATTAGTTTAATTATTGTATTAAATAAACATTTAAGTAATCGTATTAGCGTGTCATCGTAAAAAAAAATCAAAATTATGTTTAATTTGAGGTGATTTGGTATGCAATTTAGATTATTTTATTTTATTTTATGTTTTTAAAATTATGGACTCAAATAAATTCGTTAAAAAAAAATATATTACCAAACGAATATTAGAAAACATTTAAAAAGAATATTACTTTTTTAATTTCGACATTATTTCTAAAAAAAATGAATATAAAATTCACAAAAAAATATTTAAATTAGAAAATTAATTTAACCCCTTTTAAATAAATTTAAAATATGATAAGATCAATTCATACACTAAAAAAACATGTCCATATAATATGGGGAAAAAAATTGTAAATAAATAAATTAAATTAATGACCATACATATTTAACGGAAAAGTGACGTTTATTCAATAAAGAGAGTGGGCGTAGAGGCTGTCACGTGACGGTCACACCTTATTGGTCGAAGTAAAAGTGGGGACCACGCTGACCATTGCGCTGTCGGATTCTGGTTGGTCTTTTGCGCACGAAATTGTACGGCTATAACTTTTTTATCAATAATGAAAACGACCTTGCAATCTGAGCTTACGGAATATAATAAAAATAATTAAAAAAATAAAGTTTTTAAAATTAAATATATTATATTTTCAGCCTGAAATTAAATTCTGTCGGCTTTTTTTGTGTCTTAATTTTACCGAAATTAGAGAAGCACTGAGGTTATTTGCACGCATTTTCGGGTGCCTCATTTTTTTGTTTTTAATAATAATAAATTCATTCATTAAAATCTTTTATTTTATTTATTAGGTCAGTCGAGTTCACCGCTAATAAATATTGTTCCGAGATGTTCCTTAATATCTCAGGAGAAGTTTCCACACCTTTATAAAAAATGATTTGTTCCCCTTTCCAACCAGGGTGATCTCACAATCCACCCCTTTAGGGGCCAGCAAGGTCCCACCGCTGCCAAATATTATCTACTCGGGAGAGGTTTCCACGCTTTTATAAGGAATGATTTGTTCCCCTCTCCAACTGATGTGATCTCACAATCCACCCCTTTAAGGGCCAGCGAGGTCCCACCTCTACGAGATATTGTCTATTAGGAGAGGTTTTCACACCTTTATAAGGAATAATTTGTGCCCCTCTCCTGTGATCTCATAATCCACCCCTTTAAAGGCCAACAAGGGCCCACCGCTACCAGATATTATCTATTCGGGAGAGATTTCCACACCTTTATAAGAAATTATTGGTTTTCCTTTACACTAGATATTGTCGAATAGGGGAGGTTTCCACACATTTATAAAGAATGATTCGTTCTCTCCAACTAATGTGATCTCACAATCCACCCTTAGGGCCAACAAGAATCTACAGCTAGTAGATATTGTCATCTCTAGACTTTCCCTCAAGATTTTAAAAAGCGCCTACTAAAGAGAGGTTTCTACATCAATGAATGTTTTGTTCCTCTCTACAACCAATATGAGATTCTGTTTCATTCTCCTCCTATATTGATATGGGACCTAAAAAATAACAATAATAAAAATAATAACAACAATAATAATAATATGCATGGAAAGAGAAAGTGAAAGTAAATGGTTTTGTTGGATGAGGAAGGGGATAGTTTCCAATCCACCATCAAAGGCTGCCTCCATTTTCTTTGTCATCTCAATCCCTTCACTTTTTAGGGCTTTTTCTTCTTCTTCTTCTTCTTCTTCGTTAATTTTGCTCTTCATTTCCTCTTTTCCTTTGAAAATCCTTGCTGGGTTTTCATTTTATTGCAATAAAACCCCTTAGATTCTCTTTATTTCTTCAAAATCCCTTCTGGGTCTTCAGCAATTCTTCATATAAACTTCAAAACTCCCTTAAATCATAGAAAAATCGATATCTGATGGCTGTTCTATGAGTTTCTCTGATGTTTCCTTGCAAAACCCTTCTCTCCAGCTGATTTGAATCACCAACAACACAGTTTGAAGTGAGAATCTTCCCTTTTTGTCGTTCCAATAATGTAGGAAGTAACCCCAGCTGAGTTTCTTGTTTGTTGCTGTCGTTTTTGTAGGCCTAATTCCTAAGACAACGAAATGGTTCGAGGAAAAGTTGAAATGAAACGGATTGAGAATTCGACAAGTCGTCAAGTGACATTCTCAAAGAGACGAAATGGGATATTGAAAAAGGCTTATGAGCTTTCTGTTCTTTGTGATGCTGAAGTTTCTGTCATCATTTTCTCTCAGAGAGGAAGGCTCTATGAGTTCTCCAGCTCCATGTTAGTTCGATTTCTCCTCTGCTTCATAAATTATGCCTTTAATTCTCTGTACTTTACTCATTTTACCTCTTTTCCTGCTGTTTTCAATTGAGTTTTGATATGATTTGAAAGGACAATGGGAAAAAAAGGGGTTTATAGAGCCTAAATCTCACCCATATCTTCCTTTCACAGTCAATATTTACTCCAAATTGTACCTCTTAGATTTCATCTATGATTTTGCAAGATTTCCCTGAATTATTGTATGATTTTATGGGTCGATTGTACCTTTTTTAGGATATAATTCAAGAATTTAATCATAGTTTTATGTTAAGAGAATGAAGAAGAACATTGAATCAAACTTTAAGATCAAACAAATTCCTGTCTCATGATCCTAAGTTTTTTAGTTATAAACATTTGTTAGATATTGAAACATGTCTAGTGTTGAGTTTGAGTGTTCCTACATTCTGAAAAGAACATGAAAAATGGTGTCGTATGGCCTATGTCCTACTGTTGTCGGGACACAGGTGCTAGAGCAGCTGAAACGAACTAAAGCTTGTTCTTTTTGTATGTATGTGAAAGAGAGGGAATATTTTATGTGTGAAATGCAATAATGGCTATTACAAACCACGCACGAGTCCAAATAAACTACAGCTTTGGCTCCAAATTGGCAACCCCACAATAGCTGATGTCCTCCTCTTGTTGTCTATAAAGAACACTTTGTGGGTGTAAAACCAAGGATAAAACTTTGGTCCCATGACTAGGAGAAGAACCCTTGACCGCCTCGAACGAGTCACGATTAGTTAGAGACAACTCATAAGGGGAGACAAATATAGAGGCAATTGAGTCGATTTCTTCGAAGAAAAATTGTAACCGCTCAAATCCACTACTAGCCGATATTGTTCTCTTTGAGTTTTTCATTTCAGGTCCCCCTCAAAATTTTTAAAATGCGTATGCTATGGAGTGGTTTCCACGCTAGTTCTCCTCCTCAATTGAGGTGGGATCTCACAAAATGATAGAGAGGTGGAAAAGACATTAAGAGAGGATTGAGTCACACCCACCCATAGAGGGTTACCCAAACTAGTAACACAATAGAGACATTTATCAAAGTCTTTCATCCCCCACAAGGAGCTTAGTGTGGATCATATTGACTCGATCATTTTATCAACAAAGCTTCTGTAGTTTTTGGCATAACCCCTCCCGGATCATATCGACTACATTATTTAGCCAACAAAGCCTCCATAGGTTTCGGCATAACCCTCGAGGATCATATCGACTCGATCATTTAGCCAACAAAGCCTCCATAGGTTTCGGCATAACCCTCATGGATCATATCAATTCGATCATTTAGCCAACAAAGCCTTCATAGGTTTTGGCCTAACCCCTCGTGGATTATATCGACTTGATCATTTAGCCAACAAAGCCTCTATAGGTTTCGACATAACCCCTCTTGGATCATATCGACTCAATAGCCAACGAAGCCTCCATAGGTTTCGGCATAACTCATTGTGGATCATATCGACTTGATCATTTAGCCAACAAAGCCTCTATGGGTTTCAGCATAACTCCTCGTGGATCATATCGACTCGATCATTTAGCCAACAAAGCCTCTATAGGTTTCGGCATAACCCCTCGTGGATCATATCGACTCGATCATTTAGCCAACAAAGCCTCCATAGGCTTTGGCATAACCCTCGAGGATCATATCGACTCGATCATTTAGCCAACAAAGCCTCCATAGGTTTTGGCATAACCCCTCGTGGATCATATCGACTCGATCATTTAGCCAACAAAGCTTCCATAGGTTTTGGCATAACCCCTCGTGGATCATATCGACTCGATCATTTAGCCAACAAAGCCTCCATAGGTTTGGCATAACCCCTCGTGGATCATATCGACTTGATCATTTAGCCAACAAAGCCTCTATAGGTTTAGACATAACCCCTCTTGGATCATATCTACTCAATAGCCAACGAAGCCTCCATAGGATTCGGCATTACCCCTCGTGGATCATATCGACTTGATCATTTAGCCAACAAAGCCTCTATAGGTTTCGGCATAACCCCTCATTGATCATATCAACTCAATCATTTAACCAACAAAGTCTCCATAGATTTCGGCATAACCCCTTGTGGATCATATCGACTCAATCATTTAGTTAACAAAGCCTCCATACGTTTCGGCATAACCCCTTGTGGATCACATCGACTCAATCATTTAGCCAACAAAGCCTCCACTCACCGGACAAGGTGAGATCCACCACCCTTCTCAATTCCTTTCGTACAAAATCTCTCGTAAGCTTCTCCAACATTATCACGAACACATGTTGGAATCCTAAACGAGAATGAAAAGTAAATAGAGATTCCACTCAACACCCATTAGATCAAAATGAGTCATTTCAAACTTTCTTTGTTTTTGTTACCAACACCATATGCAGCAAACAAAGAGTAAGGCTTATTATGGTTCATTTTTTCATTACAAACATGTACCTTTACATATTTGCACAAGAATTTACACCTTTTCTTACTATT